AGTGCTGTTTTATGGAACAACTTACCAAAGTCCAACGAAGCGGCTCTGTAATCTGAGGATAAGTTTCAGTGTAAGACACAACTTCAACATCATTTGACTTCTTTTTCTTCTTGATGTTTTTCTGTTTACTTGAAGTTGCCTCTGATTCAGCTTCAGGTTTCTGCAATTCCTTATTACGCCTCATTCCACGCAGAAAGCACTCTAGGCCAAGGTGTCACATTTTTATTCGCCAACCAAGTCAATGATGCAGTTGTGCCTTATTCGGCAACTCCTGAATGAAGGAAAGATCAATGAGAAAGGGATAAAGGTACAACTGTCTTAAAAAGCGGCATGTTGCTACAGTAAACTTACCATCTATTAAGTCTGCATCAACTTCTGATTCTTCATCTTCACTGTCACTGGTCGACAGGGACGGGCGATTTCCAAATTTTAGGATCACGATTGCGATTTCTCACATATCGCGATTTCATGCGATTAATCGCAAAATTGCAAAAATCGCAAAATCGCAAACAAACGCAACAAAACTTAAATACTACCCATTATTGCACAAAGTTGTGAAATCATTAGTTTAGAAAAAAGAGATATTGAATAAGGGAGAGTGGGGTAATTCCGGACACTTCGATTTTCACTGGGTTTGAGTGAAGATAACTCAAAAGCCCGCCTAACAGAGGAAGATAATCAGTTAAAAAGGAGAATTCCAAATCGCCAAAGTAGGAGGTCAAACCGTTTGCCTGTGGTCGCTTCACGAAATTTGAGTACCATCAAAAATAGGCAAAAGCTGCATCTTTCCCTCGTATTTCCATGTACTTATCGTACCTTACCGTCAAGTTCAGTCCCATGACTAAAATTTTATCATATTATATGGTCATTGGACTTTACTTTGGCGTTTCGGGAGTGCTCGTATGGCTCGCCGTTTTCTTACAGTTAAACATCAAAGGTTTTCACTACCTGTGGAGTAAATCCGGACAATAAGGGTTATTTTCTTCAATTTCCCGCACAATGTTAAGGTAGTGGGTTCAAAATTGTGGACATGCATCCCCACCGTTAAGAAGGATAAAGAAAGAACGAAAAATAGCATTGCAGCTATGTTTAAGAGCTTTACTCGAGACAGTGTTGTCAGTTTAGGGGTTTTGATAGAAATTATTCCTTATAATATGCTTTGAGTAATGATCAAACACTTCAGTTCGCAGCAAATGTCCTTGAACGCCTTCTTAGAGCATGCCTCAAATCAAAACAAGCGAAAGTAAGCTCGAGTAGCGTCAAATTTTAATGTCGTCCGGCATTGCCCCATAGGTCGTCCGGAATTACCCCAGCCTGGGGCAATTCCGGACACGTGCAGGGCTTTAGTTAGGCGCCTATATCTCCCTAACCGTTGCTGAGATTTGGCTTTCATGTACATCGTTTTGAAGGTAAAGGTCCATACTTTACGCTCCTGTCATAACATTTAACCCAAGAAGCATATTCAAGCTCAAAGACCATAAAGAAAAAAAGCGTCCGGAATTACCCCACTCTCCCTTAGTGACCCAAGCATGCGAGTTGTCAATTAAGCGATTCAATGCTGGCAATTGAATATTGCTCGACTAGGATACGCACTGGTGTGGCATCAGGAAATTGGTGACGACAGAGGGTGCTTCATGAAGACAAATAAGAATATACAGTAATTGAGTCTAGATTGTTGTCCGTAGATTTCAGTATACTAGTCAAAACTACATTTATTTCAATGCCAAACCTACACTTTCATCTAAAGCTACGCAATTGGGGGCGAAACTTTCCAAGTTGAGAGTTACGCGCTTACCTGTGGTTTTCACTGCGCTGACTTCAGTTTTGACTTCTAAATTGTCCCCAACCCCAAAGTATAACCGATTTTGGGTCAAATTTTTTACATCGAATTGTACATTGATTCTTGCTGTTTTTTGAGTGCTGATAACGAAAATCACTTCCATTTTAACGCCAGACCTATATTTTCATCCCATATTGGGTCATTTTGCACCAAAATTTTCTAGACCCATAAGGTAGTTCTTTCTCAAATCGCACGACCCCCGAAATCGATGTCTCGGATTCGGACCAAACTTGGTGGACTCATTGCTTGGGTCACCAAAACCAAGTTTCTGACCCCGAAAAATTTTTTTTTGCTCTAAAAATATTTTTTCCCTAAAACATGTTAAAAAAAGGACCAAAAATCGAATTTTCGTCCAATTGACCCTACCTTGTGCAAAGTTGTTTTTTCAACGTCTTTTGATCTTATTTTATCCTATTTTATCCTATCCCACTCAGAAATGATTTTTAACACCACTAAAAACCATGAAAAACGACAAAATTTTAACGTTTTCTTGAATACCCAAAAAATGCATCCGAATTTTTTCATGAAAATTTATTTTTAAATTCATCTTTTGGTCCTCTAACATGTGTCAAAAAATTGGGAGAGTTAAATTTGAATTGCCTTTAAAATAATTTTTTTCCACTTTTTTCAAAGAAAATTTTCACTGAAATGACTCAATTTATCAAGTTTTCAGCAAGACTATTCAAGTCTCATGGCTCCTGGGTCCTCCTGGATGGGCAGGGATGTTGGAAATGTATTACTGAGTAGATAGTAGCTTCAAGATGTTTATTTTTAATTATTTTAGATGGTTGACAGGCAATACCGGTAAGTTGCCCTAGACTCCGGCCCATAGGCCCCGATCCGACCCCGACCCGGTCCCGACTTGGCCCCGACCCGGCCCAGACCCGGCCGAGACCCGGCCCAGACCCGGCAAAGACCCGGCCGAGACCCGTCAAAGACCCGGCCGACACCCGGTCGCCCCATAGGAATCCGGCAGAGCCTTGGCTAAGCCCCGGCAGAGTCCGGCAGAGTCCGACCGAGTCCGGCCACGGTGTAAGAGTGCACCACCCGAAGAGTGGTCTCCCTACACCGTAAGTCCGGACTGGGGCGGGTTCCGCCGGGCACAGTGTAGGTAGACCACTCTTCGGGTGGTGCACTCTTACACCGTGGCCGGACTTGGCCGGTCGGTCGGACTCTGCCGGGGCTTAGCCAAGGCTTTGCCGGATTCCTATAGGGCCACCGGGTGTCGGCCAGCCCGGCCACTTGGCCGAGTCTGAGCCGGGTCTTTGCCGGGTCTCGGCCGGGTCTTTGCCGAGTCTGGGCCGGGTCTGGGCCAAGTCGGGACCGGGTCGGGGTCGGATCGGGGCCTATGGGCCCACAGTGGGCTAAAACGTCCTTTTAGGCGCTCATAACCTCTTCATTAAAAATCGTTTAAACGGGCAAACTTTGTCTCCATCGGATAGGAAATTTTCCGCAGATTTCAAATCTGGTCTTATTTTTGTTGTCAGACCAAAACTACGACCACTACAGGCCGTCAAAGTTAAAACTTGTGATAATGTCTTATTTTTAGTAAAAAATGCAACAAAACGCCACAGCGATTTTGACGGCTTTGCATCTAGATTTTGAACCTCCGGAGGTTCCATTTTAAAGAACAAGTATTCCCGTTCAAAATGATACCCGAGTTATCTTCCTGCGATAATTTGAAGGGTGTTGGTGTGCATATAATCGCTTTATTTGTATAACTTTTACTTTAAAAACAAAAGTTTGAGATCTACCATAGAATCAAGCACTATCAAGCAGGTTTCAGCGCTGGAAATTATCAACCTATGTGTCAATTGAAAGGATCAACAGAGAAAACCTGCGCATATTTGCGCAAACAGTAATACGCGGCTGTGAAACATTAAAAAATTGGCAATTTTCCCCTTTTTGATAGAAAATGTGTCCCAACTAAGAAAGAATCCAAGCAACCGTGTCTCCATCCCAACCGTCCCTTGTCTTTTCACGTGCTATTTGGCTCCTTTTCCCTAGCCCCCCTGCCCCTTCTCTTCAACACTCAAGAAAAGGCCACCCGGAAGTGCAACAGAATTGATGGGAATGCAGATCTTCTGACTGCAATGTTGTTTCATCTGATTCTGTGATCAGCTCTTTCAGAAAAAAAACCTAAAGCCAAGTCTTAAAAACTGTGTGCCACAGTTATCTCACTTATAGTTGGCCCCTTTGATGACCAGGCTAATGAGCCTGCCATGTTATTGTTCCATGAAGAGTAAAATGATATTTAAAAATTGGTTTTAGGAAATTGAAGTTTGGCAGTTGTTATAAAATCTGTAGCCATGATTTTTTACAGTAATGTTTTTAAGAACGTACATATAATTTAAGTGATGTTTTTGACTCCTTTAAGCAGTTTTCAATTGTTTCGTCTGAAATTTACATTTAAAAACAACAATATGTTTTGCATTGATCTAGTGGAAAGAGAGACTGCTCCCGCAGACTCAGAAATATACAACATAAAAATACGATTATATTAAATCAATTTTCGGTGAACCACGGCTGAGATAAGGTCACACTTGCCGCCGCTTGTTCAAAATTTTAAAAAAGGGGTTAAGGGTAAGACAAAAAGAAGGTCTGTCCCCCAAATTTTGGCAAAAAAAATATAAACCGTTTTCGAAAATGGCTGGAAAGGGGGGTAGGGAAAATTTTGAGCGTCTAAAAGGGCGTTTTAGCCCACTGTGCCTTGGAGACCTATCCGGGACCCTTGGGGAACCATCCGGGACCCTTGGGGACCCATTTGGGACCGTCGGGGACCCATTTGGGACCCATTCGGGACCCTTGGGGACCCATCTGGGACCCTTGGCGACCCATCTGGGACCCTTGGCGACCCATCCGGGACCATTGGGAACCCATCCGGGACCCTTGGGGACCCTCCGGGACCCTTGGGGACCCATCCGGGACCCTTGGGGACCCATTTGGGACCCTCGGGGACCCATTTGGGACCCTTGGGGACCCATCCGGCCCCTTGGGACCCATTTGGGACACTCGGGGACTCATCCGGGACCCTTGGGGACCCATTGGTGACCCTGGGGAACCCGTTGGTGACCCTGGGGAACCCGTTGGTCCTTTAAACCCATGGGACCCATTGGGGACCCGTTGGGGACCCGTTGGGGACCCGTTGGGGACCCGTTGGGGACCTTGGGGGACCCGTTGGGGACCTTGGGCGACCCGTTGCGGACCCTGGGGGATCCGTGTGGGGACCTATCAGGGACGCAGCGAGACCTCGTTGGGACCTGTTTAGGAATTGAGTAAAGACACGCCATTTAATTTCAAAACTCTTACAGTACTTACTTGATCTCCCAACTCGAGAAAGTGTT